ATTCTGGTTGCAAACCACATAAACACATAAGGCCACTCAGACTGCTACCTTGGGCATCTCAGTGGGAAGGATTGTAAGAGTGATCGTTGTATTTTCTTCTTTGTTATTAAAACTAAAGTAACATCTCAAATAATCTCAGATTAAACCAAACCTTCAGTTCACTGGGTATCTTTATTAATGTGGAGCAGAAGTTTCCAAATTTACTTGGCCTACTGGCACACCCCTTTTTAAGGAAAAACCACACAACACCCTGAAAGCCCCTCTCAGCTCCTGTCTGGACAACTGCACCCCCCCCCCCCCCCGATCATTCAGACCCCCTGCGAGGGACTTTGGGAAGTCACCCACTTTGGGAAACACTGATGTAATGTAGTTACATTATGAAGAAATTTTTTGGTCAGTATCTTTAAAAGAGCCTATAATTATAACTTTGCATCCCGATCAAACCCAAACCAGAAATTGTTATGTCAAAATTCTTTAGTTTCTCTTTCCTCTAATAGTCTGGATCTATGGTGCTTGCTTGCAGGAAGAATCTGTGTGTGTGAAGACAAGAATGTGAGTTCAGAACCAAATGCTAGTAAATGTAATTTTAATAGCATAATTGGTAATGATGTTGGTTATTCAGGTTGTTTGCATTCTTTTGATTTCTAATTAACAAACAGTAATGACTAGCCATTAAGAAGGAGAAGGTGGACTTAATGAATGTAAATTGTAAAACTAGATAGGGCTAATGGCAAGCAACTCTCTTTCATAAAGAAGACAAATTGCCCTAGAGAGTTGACGGGTTTTTTTTTTTGTTTTAGAAAAAAATTTCTCCCACTCGTTTGTTCGTTTTGGACAGATGCCAAATGATGAGGAACTATGTAAGGCAAAAGTTCAGTTTGAACAGGGATTCAGTTGAGATACAGGAAACTTCTAGCTGATAATTTTTTTTATAAAGAAAAAAAGGTGAGAAACAATGAGTATGTAAAAAAGGTCTCAGGGGAGGAAAAATAAGTCAGATAAACTAATGCCTCTTTCACCTAACTGTTGAGGAAGACTTTTAATATTTTATAATATTTTAACATTATAAAAAGGGTGAATTAGCTTTTAAAATGGAAATGATCACTTATCTCTGCCAGTGTTCCTCAACTCAGAACTGAAGTTTGATCTTAAAATAGATAAATAATTAAAATATTATAGATTTTCATTTTTAAGTCATGCATGCATCTATTGACATACTAGGAAAAACACTGATACAGTGCTCTATCACTGTAAAAAGGGAAAGGCAAAGACAAGTGTTAGCACAGAGAGCAAGGTGCGTGCCTGGCATGAGGCCGACCTCAGTTTGATCCCTGGCTCCACATATGGTCCTTCAAGCACTGCCACCTTTCAGGAGTGCTCTGAGCACTGCTGGGATTAGTCCAAAACCAAAAGCCAAACCAACCAAACAAACAAAAATAATAGGAAAAGAAGAAGAAAGAAGGAGGGAAATAGGATGAACCATTAAGATCTGAAGATACTCATGATATTCTGAACTTGGCCAGGAGCTATGTCCTGAGACCTGAATTAGAGGATTCCACATTTGCTTTACACATACTATCAAACTATCAAAAGGCCTAAGACTTCTGTATCATAGAGCTTTTGTTTATTTGTTTTGTTTAAGTGCCACACTCAGCAGTGCTCAAGGCTTACTCTTGGCTCTATGCTTAGGGATCATTCCTTGCAAGCTCCAAGCTCCAAGGACCATATGGATACTAGGGATCAAACCTGGGTTGGCCATGTGCAAGGCAGACACCCTGTTGCTGTTCTATTACTCTGGCATCAGTTCTGCGTATTATAAATACACAAGTTAGCTCTGATCTGTAGGTTATGACAAGTCAGAAGCCCTCTGGCATTACAAAGATATTGATGGTATAGAATTTCAGCCTGGAAAATGAGAATATCCTGGAACTGTGTGACTTTCTGGGATTGTTTGGAAAATCTTGTGTTTGTAGTGGGTATTCTTATTATCTTCTGGCAATTTAGTTTTTTTTTAAATTTCATTATTGGGAATTAGAAGTAGAGAGGGATGCAATAATTTGCTTCCAGAGAATAAAAGCACAATGCTTGCCTGAAGGGTGTCTTTGTAAAAATGTGATTCCAGCTTGGTTTTCTGCCTCTGAACATGAGTAGAGCTCCAGAATAAAAAATAAAAAACAATAATGAAATGGTCCCTAAGAAAAAAAGGACTAACAACAATACAGATACCCCCTTTTGGAGAGCTCCAAGGTGAAAATATGTATTAAAACCAATGCTATTTGGTTTCAAAAACAAAAAGGAAGGCTGATTGGGAATTTTTAAACATGATAGCTATCCTGCAGCAGTACTAACCTCTTATTCCCCAATATACATTTAGGAGTTATTGACAAGAGAGCTTTACTGTGATAAAGTGCAGAACTTAAAACATTTCAGAGAAAAGTTTACATGAATTTTGTATTATACCTATAGGTGAAAGGAGAAAGGATACATTCAATCAAAAGTAGTAATAGATCTAACTTGCCAAATAATCCATTAAGGGATTCATCCTGCACATCTTGAACAATGGGCTTTTATTTTCTATCTTATCTTTAGCACGAAGCATGTTTTGGTCACTGTTGCCTTTCTGACATCAAACAGTTCCCAGCATCATACTTACTTGAATGGATACAGAGTTGTAGCTAAGTTCTAATTATTGTGCTTCATGGGATAGTTTTGTGAATGAGACAAATAATTCATACCTCCTGAACTTAATTTTGTTCTCTTTAAGAGAAAGAGCCTTGTAGGATTGATTTCTTAAACACCCATGTACTTAAAATTTTCTGATTTTAAAATCTTCAGTGGAAGAGTGAGGTTCGGACTGCACAGGGTATTTTGTTTTAATTTCATACCATTTTGTGTGCATACTCTCAAAATATTTTTTTTTCCCCCAGCAAACTCGAAAATGGACCAGAAACAGTACCTCTTGGGAAACCAGGAAATAGCATTCGAGTCTGATGAAGGTCATCTGCATGGGGAATAGATGCTACCATGAACAGCACAAGTATTTGTCCCTTCAAATGATAGTCGAGTAGTGTTAGAAGCAGCTTTGTCAACATTCTTTTCCTACAGTGCAAAAAGACTGTCAGATGGTTCTCTTCCCTATTGAAAAAGGTAATGTTGTAGATATATTATAGAATATTAGAGAAACTTCTTGGCAGAGTTATTCATTTTTGCAATTCCAAGAATTAAGCCCAGGGCCTCATTTGTACAGAACAAGCACCCTACCACTGAGCCACATACCTGGCCCTGGAGCCAAGGTAATGTAAAGAGAATTACCCTGTGGGATTCTTTTCACCTGCAGGAGCCTTGGGATATTGTTTTTGGATGTGTAGGTGGTACGTTGGATATCTCAGAAGTGATTCCACTTAGTTGGTCTGTATTAAAAATAGTTGCATGGAAATATCAACCAGTCTTCTAGAATATAATCCCTTTTTTTTAAAAAAAAAAAAACAGACTAGAACAAAGCCTCCTTAAATACCATTTCTCAAAAGAATGCTAGTTTTATGACTTATCATTATAAAATAGGAATGTAGGCAGAATGTTGGTTGATAGGTAGAAAGATTAGATTAATGGAGAGAGTTCATGACTGGGAAATGCAAACTCCAATTATTTTCCTGGTTCTGAGACATTTTAGAGCTTCTAAATGCACTGTGCATGTGAATAAGTGATATGGGTAGAGACTGAGACAAATGTTTCTCCAAATGTTTTTTAAGAAACTCTATAGTATTTTGTGAAACATTGGCCTTCTGGAAAACAGTTTGAAAAGTAATCTATACATAATGTTTCTAAAAAATTTTCTTCTGTCAGAATTTTGAGTTTAGGTAAAATCAAGACAATTAAAAGTAAATATAAAACTAGATATGCTATAAAGAGAATATTGCATTATAGTGGACTACTTAAAACAAAGTATTATTCTTTGAATGAAATGTTAATTTGATAAAATTAGTTCTATTATTTGACCACATATATATCTTATACTCATATGCTATATGGCTTTGTAAAAATTAATTTAACTTATGAATTAAATAACCAAATTGATAAGTTGTGAGTTGTACAATATTACAATTACCTTAATTCATGTCAGGATATGGTTTGAGAAATATATTTAAAATTACATAACTGGTAACACTTATCATATTACAAATATTCTTAGTTTCTTCTTCCAACCTTTTCCAAACCTGTAATACACACCGAGTAATATACAAGTACTAAAGAATTTGCAAAATAAATCCAATGGACAGGACTAAAAAGTGATTATTTTTTGAAACAATAAGCATTTCTAGAATCCTTAATGATGTGTCAAGAAGTTTATTGTAAGTTTTCATGTTTGGTGAAGTTTGCAATGAAAATAACGAATTTCTGTGTAAGCTAAGTAGTCTGAATGAACTCAGGATGAGTTTTTTTCAGGTACTTCAAAGGCCTTTTCAGAATTAATTATTGGCTTTTAATTAGCTAATATGAAATGTTTTTTAGAATGTGAAAATTGAATGTATGACAAATAAAATATTTAATTTCAGTTAGTGAAATGAATTTAAAGTCTCCAGATCCACCCACGTCAACTCACAGATAAGACCGACATTCCAGTGCAGGCTTTATTTAGATGGAGTCGAGGAATCTTTGTGATAACAGGCTGTGCATGGGGAGGGCGGGAAGAGGGGCTCTCTGGAGTGTGAGAGCTGAACTGTTTCCCCCAAATCTTTAAGTCTCTTTCAAGCAATTTTATGAATGAATAGAATTTGTGAAATTGAATTAAAGGACTTCTTAACCAGTATAACAGTTGTTGACTTTAAGAGTTCGTAGACTCAAATACTATTTGTGAAAATGTTTCCATTAGGGAGGCTTGTCCTGGCCAACCTCCACATTTCTGTTCTGTCCACTCATACAGAGTTATGATAAGGAGAGTAAAGTGTGAGTTAAATAGGGAGAGGCGTTGGGCAAGGTCATTTCTGCCAGAACATTGGAAACTTAAAGATCTCAAGGTGCTGAGATGGAGTACTAAAGACATGAACTATTCTAGTGAATGAAAAAAATATATATTTATTTACATATCTACTATACAAATATAAAGAGTGAAAATGAAGGTCCCTGTGTTTGAGGATGTAAAAGATGAAACAGATGAGGAGAAAGCAGGGGAAGAAGAAAATGAAGGCAAGGTGAGTGGAGGAGCTTGTGCTGAAGAAAATACTTGTTTCTCTAAGTTGATGATTGGAAAAATATTTCCTTTTGTTTGCTTTTGTTTTCTGATTAGGTTTTTCTTAAACCTGTTATTGAAGACCTAAGCATGGAATTGGCCAGAAAATGCACTGAACTTATTAGCGATGTAAGTAGCGCCTGCTATTTTTGTTGTTTTTGCATTATGTATGTGATGCTGTTATGCCATGGACAAAGAGACTGCCCCTCCCCGTCTGCCAACCATCTGCTGCGGCAGGTTTCTCAGCCTTTATTCCACTGTGGCCCTTTCCTGACCGGTTTCCTCCCTGGGTCCCCTGCCCTACTGGTTGGCTCCCTAAACTTATGTTATCTTCCAACCCCCATTTATGTGATTTTCAGCTGTGTCCTATTTGGAATATTCTAGAGGCCCATGAGGGCTAGTGGCCGGTGGTTGGGAAGTGCTTTGTCAAAAGTACAGTGACTTCCTCCAAGGTCACCCACATGGAGAATTTCTGGAGGATCTGGCCTTCATGTTCTTAATCCAGAATCCTGTCCCTTATGAATTTCACTGTCACTCTGGCAGGAAACCAGAGAGCATTGACTCAGAGTATTCCACTGGAGGATCCCAAAAGCCATTTAAACTTTAATGTAATGAAGTCATTTGTTTTAGGAAGATCTCTATTTAAGTGAACACTTAAAACACACACAGAAAAGATTTCTGGTGACCTTTTGAGGAAAATGCATGTGCCTGAGTATAGGTAACATGTGTCATAATTTAAGATTTATGGATTACTGAACTGCCTGATCAGAGACCTGAGAGCTAGATGATGATGATGTCAATGAAAAGGGTAATTTGTGTTGTGACTTTCAGTAACTTGGATCAGTCTCTACTACACTGCAAGGGAATTCTAGGGTTACTTGACATTGAGATGTAATTCTGTTCCAGTAAGCCAGTAAACATGTAGACTAGAATTCTAGCTGCATCAGAAAAAGCACTACTCACCAGTGTTAATAATTTAGAGTCTCCACATCCCAATAGTTGTGAGAGAATCGCTGGGTCGGAGGTGAGAGGCTCAGTAAAAGTGCTCCAGGGTAGTGGCCTTGATTTTGAGAGGCTAGCATGATGCAGCCATCTTTGCCATGAGGGAGCAGCCCAGTCAGTGATTTCACAAACTCTTGGCTTCAGAGGAAAGGCCCCGAGCATGGCCTAGTGAGCAGAGATGATCCCTGAAGCCAGCCTGTCCAAGTCCAGGTTCTATAACCTGCCTGAGCTCTCGGAACTGAAGGGCAGTTGGATAAAACAGTAACATCTGAATTGTTTGCCAAAGGACTTTTGCGTCCGTTCTGCTGATTTACGTGATTCTGTATTGCCTCCCCACTTGTCAGAAAAAAAATGGTGGGAGTCAGAACCCTTCCCATATATTTGGCATGGATGTAACTATGTTTTAAGTTGGGGATTTATTTGTCCAATTAATAATGATCCTCAGTTATTGTTTGGGATAATGATTATGACAGCAACCACAATAATAGCTGAGGATTAAATGTACTATTATGTGCCAGATCTTGCAGCTTGTGGGACAGGTTCCAAAAATTTCTCCCCCCCGCCCATTTTAGAAGTGAAGAGAGGAAGGCTCAGAGAGGTTTAGTAACAGGTTTAGTAACTTGCTTGGGTCACATGGCTAAGTGGTGTGGAAAATGAATACAGATACTCTCCACTCTGTTTTTTCACTGTAGATTTTCATGCAAACCTACCATTATTATTATTTATGACACAGTAATCATGCCTCAAGTTAAACCCTTACTTCAGTAACTCAGGAGATGTACCTTTTCCAGTGTTGACAAACTTTTACTGAAGTTCAGTTGAACTAAATTTTTATGAAACATTTGGACTAAAGTTATTGTTTTAGATAGTAGATGATATTGGTGTTGTTTTAGATATTATTTACTGTGACTTATCATTCCAAGTTTGTGGTGAGTGGTGAAGGCCTTTACCATTTTGCCAGAGATAAAGGCTGAGCATTTATTTCCATATGAATTATTATATCCCAGATGGGCATCAGTGCATTTTATATGTTAGTGAAATGAAACATAGCTTTATTATAGATTTGTTGTATAGTAGAATGTCCATATTACTTAGATATTTAGATCAAATTTCTAGGACCTTTCACATCTGTGTACTCTTTCATATCTGTGTACGCTTTTCTTTTTTTCCCTCACTTTTTCTTATTATGGTTTTTGGCCCACACCCAGTGGTGCTCAGGGCCTACTCCTGGCTGTATGCTTAGGGATCACCACTGGCAGTGCTTGGGGGACCATATGAGGTGCCAGGGGGGTGGACCCTGGTGGGCCATGCAAAGCAAGTGCCCTACCTGCTGTACTATTGCCTTGGTCTTCACATTGTGTTTCTCAGTGGAATTCCATACTTGTTGAGATTTAGGTTTAATTTTTATTTTTATTTTGGCCCACACTCGGTTGTGCTCCAGGCTGCCTTCTGGCTCTGCCCTCAAGGATATCTTCTGGCTTGGTATCCCTCAAGGATATCAGAGTGTTACCCTCTGGGGTACCAGTGATTGAAGCCAGGTCGACTGTGTACAGACTTTACTGATTGCACTATTGCTCTGGCCCCTAATTTTGAAATTTTTATGTCAGTCAGTGACTATCCTGAATAATTTTTCATTTATTAAAAAATGAGAGCAGCATATACATTGTTAAAGAAAAATTTTTTACTTACCATTTTTCTTTTTTGGGGAGGAGTCACACCCAGCAAGGCTCAGGGGTTACTCCTAGATCTACACTCAGGAATTATTCCTGGCGGTGCTTGGGATGCTAGGGATTGAACCCAGGTTGGCCGCTTGCAAAGCAAATGACCTTCCCGCTGTGGTATCGCTCCGGCCCCTTACTTACCCTTTTAGAAGGACTTTTCATATAGGCCTAGATCAAGTCTCTTAGAAGTTGGTTAAGTGTTATTAAGTAATGACTCATTTATCTGCCTCTAGAGTCAACCTTGTTTTTATTAGAGTTGATACACTTGAAGTTCTTATCTTCACTGTATTGTTGGCATGCCTTGATAGCAAGTCTAAGCTGTGTATTTGAAATTGCATTGATCACACAGCTAAAACATAAAACTTGGATGAATAGCTGCAGGAATCCTGGAGTTACAGACATCAGACTCCTTACGATAGTGCACTACCCTTGTATAGTTTAATCTCCAATCTTTTCCCTGCTCTGAAACCTAAAGGCAAACATTGAAGTATTTTGTTTTGTTTTATAACCCATTATATCCAGAGGAGCACTTGTACATTTTCCTGAGTCATTTCATTGCCTGTATGTTTTGCCAAGTGGGTGTGGGTATTGTTTATCTGCTCTGTAGAGCCCTGCATCTTGAAGCTCTATAAAGCTGCTTCACATTCTGTTGATCAGATCTCTTAACTGGTGAGCCAAGATCTGAGACTTGAAACAAGGTCTGCCTGACTCCATCATTAGTGTCCCTGCGATGCTCCTCCTCTCCTTCCATGTCCCAGCAGCCTCCGCTGGGTCAGCGCCAAGGTTGAGTGGCTTATCCTAACCCTGGCAGAGTCAGGGATGGGGTCAAGATTCAGGGTTGGGTCCAGCTGAGTACAGAGCCTGGCTGCTTTTCCCTTCCCCATCTGCTCCAGTGTTTTAGATGAGGAAGGTTTTATGGATTTCTCTTTAGGGAGCCGAAGCTAAATGTTCCCTTCACGATTATTCTGATTATCCCTCTTTAGACCTCTTAGAGTTTCCATGTGTCTTTTGGGGGTTATAATAACCAGAATGTCCACAGCTGCTCACATGTGGATGGCCAATGATTGGGGTGATAGTCACTTTGGGTTTTGTTGCATTTGTTATCATAGAGTCACGTGGACTTGAGGCCTGCAGGAAGCAGTTAGACCAACCTCTTTTGTAGAACATCCTTTCATCAACTTTGAGTTCTAATTTCTGACTTGTCGTGGACTACTCAGGATTCATCATTTTTTTTGTTTTTCTTGTTTGGGGGCTGCACCCAGCGGTTCTCCAATAATGTTCAGGTATTACTCCTGGCAGGAAGCATGTGGTGTCAGGGATGGGACATAGTGTTCCCACACTCAAAGCATGTGCTCCAGCCCTTTGAGCTATCTCCCTGGCCCCGAGGCCCATCCCCTTTCAGTATTGAGTTAAGCAGTATTTTACCTTGTTGATGAAGAATTAACCCTATGGTGCTTTGTGCTGTGCACTGAGAACCCTCACCACAACACTTCCACAATGCCATTCTTCTTTCCATGACATTGGCCACCAACTGACTCTGCTGTGTCACCCCTAGCCTGATCATTTATCAAAATATTCCACAGGATTGGTGGAAAGCAAAGTCTTGGTAGGCCTGAACTGTGTGGAATTCTCCATCTAGACAAATAAATGGCTATATTTGGGGTCTAGTAGCTTCACTTTGAAGTTCATTTGGAGATGTTTCTTTTTGTCAACATTTTATGTTTTTTGTTGGGGGGGGCACTCATTAATTTCTACTATGTCTATAGTGTGGGGTTTCTTGCTCCATCCCCTGCTTCCAAATTCTTCTGTTTTTGTGCTGTGGCCACACCCAGTGTAGCGGCTTCAGCCAGGAATAGTTCTCAGGATCACTCTTGTCCGTGCTCAGGAGAATGTGCAATGCTGGGGATTGAACCCAGGCCTCCTGCATGCACAGCTTATGCTCCAGCTCATTGAGCTATCTCTTCAGCTCCACCCCCACAACCCCACTCAGCAATTATGAAAGGGAGATACTTGCTTCTCAGAGGTAACCTCTTTTTCTTTTAACCACAGATTATTTCCTAAATACCTAGCCTCTCTCTCTCTCTCTCTCTCTCTCTCTCTCTCTCTCTCTCTCTCTCTCTCTCTCTCTCTCTCCTCTTCCCCCCTTCTCCCGGAGACCCGTTAATTCTAATCAAATTCTTGACTAAAATAAAATCTCTTTATCTCTGCACTCTCTGAGCCATGCATTTAGTGACCTTCTGTTAATAAGCAATGAAAATGCCAGGTGGCAGAAGGTCTTTGCTGTGTCCCTTAGATATAAGCACCCAACATCTCTACAGAGCAAGTCTGGAACCCCTGAGTCAGTGTTTTGGTTTGAACCTTTTTAGGGGATTCATTTGCCTGACAGCAGAGAGAATGCTTTCCAGGCGAATGAACATTGTTGTGGGTAAATCTTTCCAATGCAGAAAACAATCGATTTTATTGTCGCCCTCCCAAGAGGCTTCAACAGTGTTAGAAAATCTGGGAGAAATCCTTGGCTTGCAGCCTCTTGTTAACAAAAAGTACTGGGAAGAAAGAGCCCAGGCTCTCTCTGGCAGGTTTTACTGAACTGAGCCAACCTCTCTCCTTTGGTGAGGAATTGATCTAGGAACCTTTGTTTGGGAATGCTTGTCCCGGGAAATAGTGCCTGATGCTTGTAACTCAGTCTTGCATTTTTCAGCCTTAGTTCATCTCATACTAAGGGAAAGAAATGAGGTCAGGAGGACAAAGCACTTGAACAAATTGGGTTCTCATAGTGATGATATGGTGGAATTCATGAAAGAGGATAAAATGCAAGAAATATGAAGGGCATTTTATCGATAGACTTGGCTTTTAATTAGAATATAACTTGGATTGTATATTGGCTGTGATACTGGTGGCTCCAAATACTGAGAAAACCCTAGTGAAGAGATTTAACAAAGAGATGCTTATTTTTTCACATAATTCAGGTGGTTCATTGGTTGGATAGACTGCTGGGAGTGCAGTGGGTTTGGTCTATTGGATGATATTCCTGTCCAGTACCCTTTATTCTTGTTATATCATTGTTGGTAAGGTGACATCTTTGCCTTATGATGATATTGTTGCTGCTAAAGGGAAAATATAGATTAAAGTGTCAAAGGATGGTGCCAGAGAGTCTTGCCCTTCATGCCACTACCAGTGCTGGTAAGACTTCCACTGTTATCTCATCCCACAGCTGGGTCCTGATTTCCCCAGGCTGATCACTGGTAGAGGGATAGGAAAGGACCATGCCTTGCTTAGACCAATTTGTCCCCTGGGGCTGGGGCAGCTGTCTGAGCGTTCTCTTAAGCACAATTAAATTCTGTTACTAAGAAAGAATGGTTCATCAACAGGAGATAATTCAAAAGGCTTTGCATGTGGGTGGCCTGGATTTGATTCCCTGGATTTGAACAGAGAGAAAAAGAGGGTAGAAAGGGAGGGGGAACTGGAAGAAAGAGGGAGGGTTTGTATAGGCAGTCTGCCCAAAAGGTGAGGCCAACTTAGGCTGCAGAATATCCAAGATCATAGCTGTGATTTTTCATTTGATTTTCTCGATGCTATCCATGTAGTTTCCCTTTTGTGAATCTTTTTCTGGTATTCTGGTAAAGGAAGATTACCCAATATGTGGCTTTTTTTCACATAAAAATTTAATGTCATTGGCTTATTCTGATCCATACTGTAAAACTGTATGTGTTTGTGTATGTGTTTGGAAAAGACCAAAGAAGGAAATAGGGACCACACTTAACATGGAATTCTTAGCCTGCAGAGCAGAGGAAGTAAATACTTAAGCCTTATCCGTAGTCCTGTCTTGCACATTCTGCTCAGGTCAGAGCTTATCAGAAGAATGACCATAGCACATCCCCCTGCAGTGAGGAATGTGAGTGTGAGCAGAAAAGATGGTGGCGAGAGATAAAAATAATGAGCCAAACTTAAGCCTAATGATAGGTTATTTTCTCTCACACTTAATTACATAACGGAGATTATTTTTTCTCCTTATGATCAAAATAGCCTACTATTTATCATACTGCCATTAACAATTTAATTACTAGTGACTAAGGAGGGTGATTTGCCGAGACCTAAAATTATGGTTAATCTCTGCGGAGATTAAAAAAATGTAATTTAGTGCCCGATAAGATAAATATGTTCTAATGTTGATTTCATGAATAAAGCAAATGTATAATGTGGTGGGCATCAAATAGCAAAGAGTCATTGTGGGATCATTTATTACTTGGAAAGAACTTGACTTGGTTTGTTCGTCCATTTGATGACCTGCTTATAGCTCAGCTCATGCACAGCCTCTCAGCCAGAATCTTTATATAATATCAACTAACATCTCTATTAGTCAAGTCCTGGGAGGACCATGTAGGAGACAATTAAACTTTCCTTTTAGGTTATAATTAGGGAGACCATGTAATTTATCACTGAACTGGACTTCTTTTTTTTTCCAGTGCAAGTATGTACAGTCTCGGGTGGATGAACAGGACTTTATTACAGGTTGATAGAACTTTTACCAAATTACCTTCATCCTCTCAGTGAGTCATAGTTTTGCCTCTCCAATTGCAGACTGGGTGGCAATTAACAGGGTCCTTGGGGCCACTGCACAGTTTCTGCTCCTAAATCTGGGCTTCTTTCTGGCTCTTGGAGCCATGTAGCACTTCTCTCAGAGTCATGATTCTGGTCTTTCCTCAAAGGAAAAGGAAGGACTCATTTGCTGGTGGGGGCCAGAGAAAGGAAGTGCAAACCCCGTTGAGCCTTCTTGAAGCCCCTTTTGTTTAGATGCTTCCCCTCTGCAAGGGGGCATTGTCAAAGGCTCTCTACCAAGGGGTCGCTTTCTGGGAAGATTCTGCTCTTCTTGGGAAAGGAGAGGAGACAGAGGAGGACTGGGGGTGCTCAGAAAGTGGGTGAGTTTGTGTTGAGCAGAATTAGTTAATCGCAGGAAGCCTCTTTTAATCCAGCGGGCGTGGGTAAAAGCATGCCTAGTAATGACTTGTGGCTTCCTCTCTGCCTTGCCTTCTTCATTGGTTACATCTGTCCCGATGACCACTTGTTTGTGAAGCTAAAGGTAGACAGCTGGGTTTCTGTATGACCGGAGGCTTAATGTTAAGGTCAGTGGCTAAAAAGTAGCAATTAAGCCAGCCACTTGTGCGAGGAAATGAAGGATGTTTAATAATTATGCTGAGCAAGCTGGACATCATTTGTGGAGGCAACTTCTTTGATTGGATGAGAAGGAATACTGGGCTTTTCCAAAGTGCAGTTTCTATTTTGCCTCTTTGGCACCTTGTCACTGTGGGGTAGGTGTCAGTTCACTTGATTTGGCTTGTTTTCAGCACCATTTCACCATTGAGTATTGACTTCAGACAACTGGTTTTATTTCAGTGAACTCTTATGTTCAAAAAGGGATTTTAAAATGGTTTTTCTTTGTACACACACACACACACACACACACACACACATATATATATATATATATATATATATATTCCCCTTTTCTCTTTTAGTTCCATTATAAGGAAGAGTATCAAAGGTCTAAGGACAAGTGTACGTTTGTGCCTGATACTCCAATGCTAAACCATGTAAAAAATGTTGGTGCTTTCATTTCTGAGGTAAGTTAGCAACGCTTGAGCCATGGTTTGCATGCTCTGCTTCTGTCTTTGTCCATAAAACTCTGTGCATTGAAGCTCAAGAATAATAGTTCCAAAACAGTGCTTAAAGTTAGTTACATTTATGTTTGTATGATTTTAAAAACTCTACCAATAAAGTTGTATAAATGGATACATTTTATTACCTGTGTCTGTTAGATTTTATGTTTATATATGTCTTATTTTGACTCCTACCCTCTTATTATGTAGGTTTATTCTTGAAAAGAGATATTTTCATCCAATCACTAAGTACTAGTTTAAGAAGTTCTGGTATTCTATTACCTAGCAGACTTGTTGAGTAGAAATGATCAAATATCATGTTAAAGATAAGTAACTTTTACCAGCTGATTTCATATAATGTGCTAAGTGGATAAGTGATTGGAACTCAATTTTATTTCTGAGCAGGCACAGTTCAGCAGAGATAATTGTCATGAAATCACAGTGAGAAATGCACTGTATTCATTTTCCAGTAGGAAAATCAAGTAATGTGTTTTGGACCACTGTGTATATTGCATTGTAAAGCACAGTGAGTGCTGATTTGTCTCACAAAGTATTTCAGTCATCCACGTACAGGTTGCTTAGAAGAGATCCTTGGACAGAGAATGCACAAAATAGTGTAGGAAATGACTGACCTCTAGTGTTTTGTATATTATGTGGCAAGAAAATCAGTATGGTATAGTCTTGAGATTGTTTCTGCTTACATGAAATTTGGAAGAAATTTGGTAAATTTTCCTCCTGGAGTTTTCAAGTCCAAAGGGTTGTGGAAGCACAGGCCTCACACATTATATAAGATGGCCAGTCCATCAGCACTCAGATCTAGCTTTGAGAGGGGACTTGTCAACAGTGTGGAAAAGCATGGCTGTGCTTACTAGCTTAACTTATTGAATGGATGCTTTTTTTCCTGAAGATGTTAGCTGCAGAGCAAAGAAATAACAGGAATAGGTAGTCTAGTGTGTAATTTTGAGCCTAACATTCCCAAGAGGAAATAGTAAAGGAGTATTTCTCTTTATGTATATGCTGACTCAGAGACAGTGCAGAGTGAAGATGGAAAGGTACAGAAACAGTAGTGGGAGTACATATGGGAGATGGTGGTCAGATGAATGAAAAGGAACACACTTCTTTGCATTCAATTTCTAATCTGTAAATTCGAAAGACTTATATTTTGGGAATAATTCAAATATCTCATTCTTACAACTGTTTTTACTAACCAAACATGTGAAACGGTTCACACACAAGTGTAATTACTTTTAGAAGTGTGCTTATGTTTCAATAGGAAACGAGTCACTGATTTTTGCATGTCCGTCCAATTTGAAGCTTTCTTCATAAGATTTGGGTTTCTTTCCTTTTCTCAAAATATGTTCATTATAACTAGTATCTAAGATTAAAGCAGTCTTCATATTTTTAGGTCTATTTCTGAAACTCCTTTTTATCATCTTTCTAGTTTTCTTAAAATTCTCTATGCATGTTTTTAAAAAAGTCCCTATTTCTTTTCTCCACCAGGCAAAGTACAAAGGTGCATCCAAGGCAGATCTCTCAAATTCTCTATATAAGCAAATGCCAGCCACGATTGACAGTGTCTTCGCAAAAGAAGTTACTCAGCTTCAAAGTGAGGTGAGGGCTTCCAAAAATCATTATTTAATGGAGATACGATATTGAACCTAGTATACATAATTTGGCTTTTAAAAATTAGTTGTGTTTCTACTATATATATACTACTATGTATAGTACTATAATATAACTAATAAAAATTAGTTATATTAAGGAATGAGTGAAACTTGAAAAGAATGTATTCTAATGCAGTCACCAATAGTTTCACCAATGGAATCATAGAGAATGAAAAAGATCCAATTTTGAATTTAATTGGTTATGTGGTGCTATTTTTCTCTACTCAGATTCACAGTTATGAATGCAACAAATTTAATCATAGTTAGAACAGTTTGCTTAGATGAAGATTTCCTATCAAACACAAATCTGTCAGGGATTGAGTGTGTGGTATCTAAGTGGAGAACATTCTGGTAGCTTATTAAGAATCCCATAAAGAGTTCACTATTAAATTGGAGACACACAAGTTTGTAAAGAAAAGTGTGTCCTGAGTGCCCTTATTTTGAGGATTGTGTTTTTAATTTGGAATTAATATCTTGGGCTATCAAAAAGAGCCTCTGTAAGTCATAATTTAGTTATTATAAGTTGCAAATGCATTTCCAACTGGCATCATGGAAACTCATTTTGAATTGAGAAGACTTAAGGAATCACCAACATATGAGGACTATATAATGCATTTAATTTGTTGTGTGAACAGAATACCATGTTGCTGTAAAAAAGGATATATTATTCAAGCATTACTTTCTAACATAAAACCAGCACTGCCATTTTAAGATAGAACAGACTTTTTTAAAAGGCTTACTTATACTTTATATTTATTTATTTTTTTATGTAGGAGTACTGCATTCAGCAACTGATTAGCTGATTGAATTGGGCATGAACTCCACCTTACTTTTTTTTCATTTTTTTTATAATTTTATTTATTGAAGCACCGTGAGAGCAGTTACAAAGCGTTAGGGTTTAAGTCTCAGTCATACAATGAAACACCTGTACCTTCACCAGTGCTCATTCTCCACCACCAAAAACCCCATTCCCACACCCTCCCCCTACCTGTGAGGCAGATGATTTCCACATTACTCTCTCTCTCTACTTTGATTACATTCAATATTTTGACACCAGATCCACCATTATAATTTGGGATTTTACCCGAACACTCAGATCTGCTGAAAAGGCAACAGTAGACAATTTGTTTTCTGTTGCTGGTTATGAATAACATATGATGTCGTGTGGATGCAGTAGTGGCTGCGCAATTTTGAAATTCCAAAATTTTAACATTTAAATCTGGAGGGATTTCTGCGAAAACTTGCTGGGTTCCGAGATTTGTTCCTGAGTCTCTGGGATCATGGCCGTTAGTCAGCTTGATCAGGAGCCAGAAAGGCCGTTTGTGGCCAGCGACTTGGGGTCTCATTGGGGTGGGGAGGAAAGGGCCGGCTCTACCCCCATCCCTTGAGGCCCCACGTGTCTCATCACTGAGGACCCAAACCCGATTGTCCAGTGGCCTCTGGAGGATGGCAGCCACCAAGCAGCCTAAGGGGAGCAGGCAGAGGGACAGCACCCTTCCCCCACTGGGGTGGCCCGGCAACAGTAATCTACTGTGGGTCCAGATGCATTTCTGCCAAAAGCCACTGGGTTCTGAGGTTTGTTTCTGAGTTTCTGGGATCATGGCCATTAAGCAGCTTGATCAGGAGCCATAGAGGCCGTTTGTGGGCAGTGACTTGGGGTCTTGTTGGGATGGGGAGGAAAGGGCTGGATCTACCCCATCCCATGAGGCCCCATGTGTCTCATCACTGCAGGTACAAACCTGATTGTCCAGTGGCCTCTGGAGGATGGTGGCCACCAGGCTGCCAGGGGGAATGAAAGGCTTACTTATACTTTAAAGTTAATTTAAAAAATTCTCTCCCCTTACTTCCTACTAAATTGTATTCTTATAGAATGTACCTATTTCATATAAATGTTTAACTTAAAAAAATTCTTTTCTCACTAATTTTTAGGATTTACCTATTTTATATAAAATATATTAATACTATTAATTGTTAAATTTATTTATTTTTAAAAATGAAAAATTTTGAATTTATCAACTTATTATTGATTTATAATTTTGTGGAATCTCAGGAGTTTAGCTTTTTTCATCTATATGAACATAATTTTTACCACAACTAAATAAAAACGATCTCTCTCATGTATGCGATTAAGAAATATAATAAGGGAACAAAAATGGTAAAAGTCACCAGAACTAGAGATTTTGTCTCTAGAACTGAGCTTCCATGGGAGGCAGGTGGCTGGGAGGGTCTTTGGTATATTGGTGGATGGAAGAAGTGAGTACCCTGGTGGTGGGTGTGACATTGGAATGATGTATGTATGTAACTCTAATTATTAGTACTTTAAATCATGATAATAGATATGGTAATGAGAAAAAAAGAAAGGATTAATTAATAGTTTGTTGCATCCTAAGTGGAACAGGATGACATCATGTTAAGCGAAGTAAGACGGAAAAGGACAAATACTGGATGCTCGGATGCTCTCATTCATCCAAAGTATACAGACAACAAGGGAATAGTATGTATTGAACAGTGACAAGCCCTTGGCCTTGAATTTCAAAACAGATTACCAAGAAATAAGGGTAGAGGGGAAGGGAATGAAGATTGGACTAGAGTTGACAGAGCAACAGTGGTGGAGGGTCCTGGACACTTGAAGGGGTCAGTGATTATGTATGTCAGTACAATAGACTTTAGCACCACTGAACCAGTTACCTAATCTAAAATAATTAAAATTAAAAATAATTTGTTGTATTAAAATAGTATTTCAAAATAGATTATTTCACCTGCTTCTCCCTTATCTTATTGTTTTATTTTCTTCATAATTAATTTTTTAAAAATCTATATCAATATTGCAACCCTTAGCAACTCAAGAGCAGAGATGTCATTTGGTTTTGCCTCTCTGTTCAATCATGATACCCAGTATTTGGCCCACAGGAAGTGAGTAAATATTTGAAAAATTGATTTTTGTTGACCTGGTGAATTTTTCTTTCAAATAAAATGTTTTCTTTTGCATAGCTAAAATTCTTTTGGCTATATTTTAGATTAATGATAATAATAGAGTACCTATACCTGTTCTATGTATTTCACATGTGTTTGTGTGATTTAATCCTTACAACTATTTCATGAGTTTTTTCATCCCTATTTTTGAGATATGGATTGTGGGGGATGGAGTTTAGTGGTAGAGCAACTGTCTTGCTTATGTATTTCCTGGATTAAGTCTCTCTATTTCTCTCTCTCTCTCTCTCTTCCTCTCTCTTTCTCTCTCTCTCTCTCTCTCTCTCTCTCTCTCTCACACACACACACACACACAAACACACAGACTCAATTTGAAGATGTGGCACTCTGTCTCTATTTATACCTCTCTTTTTTACATTCGTTTCGTTCTTCCTCAGGACTCTTTTTTATCTTTAAGGATAAGAGACTTAGGGTTTGTTTTAGCTTTTTTAATAATTAATTTTTCATTTTTGGTGGTTTTTTGTGCCACACTTGGTGGAGCCCAGGCTGACTCCTGGCTCTGTTCTCAGGGATCACTCCTGGAGGGGCTCAGGAGGTCATATGTGGTGCTGGTTATTTGAACCAGAGTCAGCTGCATGCAAGGCAAGTGCTGTATTGCCTGTAGTATTTCTCTGGCCCTGGACTTAGGTTATCATAAAATGGTCAAAAAAATTATTCCTGGAAAAAGCTGAACATGGTTATCCTTTGTACAACATCTTAGTACTCTGTCATTACAAATGTTAAATGATCACAGTGAACCTAGCTTGGCAGTAAGGTAATCTCAGCTATGTAACATGTGACTAAAAATATTCAGGGTCATGGTGGTGTCTGGTTGATGGTCATGGATATGCTCCTTGATTTCTTACTTAATTCTGGTCACCTAGTCACTTGTTAATAAACTGTACTACTTTATAAAGCAAAAAGTTACAACCCAACAGCCAATATGTGACAGGCACCAATAATGCAATAAAGAAAAGAAAAAAATATTTTTACTTTAATAGAAAGATTTTCAGAAGATTTCATTTTCTGAAGATAATATCACTTTCAGAAGATAATATCCTTATTGTTTTGGAAGGGCACAACTTTTTCACTCTTCCTACAGCATTAATCTTTCTAAGAAAAAGTGTGGCAAACAGCTCATCATGGTAAAGAATTTATGTATGTATTTTGAAATCTGTTATTTTTTTCCAGAAAAGGTTATTGTGTACTTTGTTAACATGTAGTATTCTATACAGACTTTGAATCCTGTAAAAATACATAAATATATTTTTTATAAATATATTATAGATGTGTATATATGTGTATATATATGTTTCAGGTATTGTAATTAGTCATTGAACTTATTAGTACAAAAACTCTAACTGAATAAGATATTTCAAAGATTTATTTAACCACAATGATACTTATTTATGTCTACCTGTATCAGTTTTATTATTTTTAAGATTGCAATTATTAGACCTTATATTCTCCTAAGAAAATCAGGAAAGAAACATTTGACAGTAGGTGTGATAAGTATACAACTAGCCGTCTACAAATAGATTGTGCAAATCTAAATTAGAATATCAAATTCTGAAATGTGATGGCATTACAAGTTCTAATGAAAATCTTACAATATTTTGACTTTGAAAAAAAAGATTATCTTAAAGCCAATTTGCAAACATTCTGAGATGCATTCATTCAGACTACAGCAAGGTGAAAATGAGCTAGATAAGTAGCCCATATGGAAAATAGCTGATGGGGGAAAATGACTTATAAAGAGAGAGAGAGAGAGAGAGAGAGAGAGAGAGAGAGAGAGAGAGAGAGAGATGTAGAGACTTTAGGGAGTTAGTTTATTTGATATGCCCACACCCCATACAAACTTCATTAGCAAAGATCGCAAAGAAGGTTTCTGGAGATGGATAGTTGTGAAATGATAGAGCATAATATATTGTGAAATGGTGAAATTTTCATACCAGGGCTGGCTGAGGCAGAGGCTAA